CCGGTGAGGTCATCCATCCGCTCCCCCCTTTTCCCCTCCGTGTCCCCCGGTCTTCCTCTCCCTCCCCGGAGCGTCCCCTCCCTCCACCCGAGCCCACTTCAGTCCCCGTTGTGTATATACTGGGGCAGCCTTCCCCCCCCATGGGAGGATGGTGCCTCGGGAGATGGGAGAAGACCGGTGAGGTCATCCATCCGCTCCCCCCTTTTCCCCTCCGTGTCCCCTGGTCTTCCTCTCTCTTCCCTTCCCAGAGCGTCCCCTCCCTCCCCCCGAGCCCACTTCAGTCCCCGTTGTGTGTATCCTGTGACATCCTCGCTCGATTATCCCCCACGCCCCGACCGCCGCGAAGGCTAGTCGACGTAGCGGGTGGGTTTGGGGAGGGGTGGGGGCAGCCGCACGGAGCTCCGCCGCGCGGTCCTCCCCCCCCTTTCCAAACTCATTAACTCGCTGACCGACCGACCGAGAAATTAGAGGCAGCTTGGCGTCGTCCTTCGACGGGAGATGCGACGGGTGGAGAGAGAGGCGGGGGGGGGGCACCCGGGGGCCTGGCCCCCCCCCGCCCACCGGCCCCCCCCCCCCGTACCCCGTCCTCCCAAGGGCTGGCCGTGGACGATGGGGGCAGTGGGAGGAGAGGAACCAGTCCTGTGTGTGCGTCTCCCGATGACTCCCGGAGGGCAGCTCCGCGGAGCGCCGAGGGACGTGAGCGACCGCGGCCTCCGGCCCCCCTCCCCGTTCGTCGGCGTTCCCTTCCCCGCTGCCCTGGATGGGGGGAGCCGGGCGGGGGGAGGGAAGGGAGGGCAACCCCCCCCGCCCATCCCCGGCACGACGAGGAACTCCGCCAACTCCGCCGAGGGAAGGGAGGGGGAGGCTCCCTTCTGCCGGAGCTCATTCGTTAACCTCGCTCGGCTGACGCCTCATTTTGCAGCTCATTACACCCAATATTCGGCAACCTGTATTAGTTGCGGGGAGGGGGGAGCCCCGCCTCTCCCTTCCCCTCCCCTCCCCCTGGCGTGGGAGAGGGGAGGGGCCCGGGGAGGAGGAGGAGGGGGAGAGAACAACAAGAGACCCCTTCCTCCACCTCCGCCGGCGAGAGGATCCGTGGCGGGAAGAGCCGGCCGAGGACAGCGGGTGGGAGGAACGCGGATAGAGGTGGAGGGGCCGGAAACCTGTTTGGCCTGGTCCTCCCCCTCCTCCTCCTCCCCGGTCCCCCCAAATCCCGGCGGCTTTCCAAACCTGCCTTACGGGAAGAGCCGGAGGGGAGTGTATATATGTGTACGTGGGTTGTGTATGTGTGTGTTGTGATTTACGGCCCGTCAGAGCCGAGGAGGTTCATTTCCCCTCCCTCGGATTAGCCTCCCCCCTCCCAAAAGAAGGGGAGGGCCGCTCCTCCCCACCCGCTTGTTTCTCCTCCCCGCCAACTCCGGGGTACCAACCCGGAAGGCCTCCCCGCCCCCCCCTGACCCGAAGGAAGGACAACCCCACCCCCGGGCCGACGGTGACGCCCCGACCGAGCGCTCACCTTCCGCCACGCTGCCGGCCCCGTCGGGCCGTCCCGTCCCGGTGCTTTTTTTCCGACGGTGTTTCTTCCGGTTGGCATGAGGGGAAGGCGGCGGCTCCAGCTTGGGGCTGGCGGTGCTGGAGACGTTGGGGCTGGACGTGAGGGACTCGCCGGTGCCATTGGCTGAGGGGGGGAGAGAAAGGGAGAGGGAGGAAGAGAGAGTGAGAAAGAGAGAGAGAGAGAGCGAAAAAGAGAGAGAGAGAGAGAAACAGAGAGAAAGAGAGAGAGCGAGAAAGAGAGAAAGAGAAAGTGAGAAAGAGAAAGAATGAGAAAGAGAGCGAGAAAGAGAGAGAGAAAGAGAGAGAAAGAATGAGAAAGAGAAAGAGAGAGAGAGAGAAAAAAAGAGAAAAAGAGAGCGAGAAAGAGAGAGAGAGAGAGGGAGAGAGAGAGAGAGAGAGAAAGAGAGAAAGGGGAGGGGGAGGCCAAAGGTCAGGATCCAGGTCCCGCCGCAAGGCCTCCTGCTTGCCAGGCCGGGACCCGGGCCTCGGGCAAGCCCCCCCCCTCCCTGCCGCCGGCCCGCGCCGGGCCCGTCGGGCGAGGACACGTCGCCTATCTGCCATGCGCCAAATTTATCCTCAATCATCCCCGTTCCTTGCAATTAATAGCAGAATTAGAAACAATCAGGGAGCTGGCTAATTACTGTCAATTAGAGTGCACTAATCAAGCTCCGTCACACCCTCCCCTCGCACACACACACGCACACACACACACCGGCCCGCCCGCCACGCCGGCTCTCTCTGCCATTAAATGTCAAATTTCATTAGAGACCGGCAACAAAAAATCAGAGCGCTGACATTCACTGCCAGGAGCCGAGAAGAGGCCAAGTGTCTCCAATCAGCCGCCCCGTCGCGGACGAGAGGACCCAGGGCGCCGACCCTCCCCCCTTCCTGGAACAACACCCTCCCCCCTCCCAGGGAAGAGGGGGAGGGGAAAGCCAGCACCATCCTCCCCCCTCCCCAACCCTGTCCACCCCCGTGCCCGGCGACTTGGAGGAGCGGACGTCGGGTTTTGACTCCGTCGCAGTGCGGACTACGAGGCGACCTTTGATCTGCTCTGAGCACTCAGAGGGGGGGCCTAGACGGGTGGAGAACCCCGGGGGAGGGGAGGGGGAAGGGAGGCTGGCCTGGCCCCGCGAACCCTAAGTGGGGGAGGCCCCGTGGGGCAGGGCGAGTGGTGACAGAGAGCGACCTCCGTGCCTTCCCAAAAGGCGGCGGAGCGGACGTCGAGTTTTGACTCTGTCGCAGTGCGGACTATGGGATGAGCTTTGATCTGCTCTGACCACCCAGAGGGGGCAGGCCCAGCGAACCCTAAGTGGGACGGGCCCCGCGGGGCGTGCGAGTGGACGCGGAGAGCGTCCACGGAGCCGCGTAGACGACTCCGCAGGGTTCGGGGTGTGTGTGTATGTGTGCGCGCGGTGTGCGTGTGCCAGTCAACTGTCCCCCCGCCCAAGGGGTGACTGTCCGCCAAGCTTTTGGCCTCACGGCAGCGATGGCGGCGGGAGGAACGGATACAACACTCCGATTCAAACTGTCTCTCCGTCCGTCCACCCTTTCCGAGACCCCGAACCCCACTTAGCAGCGAGCTCCAGATAAACGGGTGGCGGGGTTAAAGGGTTAGGAGAACGGTTAGCGGTCAGCGCCCGGCACAGGCGGGGTGCCGTCTGGTCCCCGTAGGTGGGGGACTCTCTCTCCGGCCAGCGCCGGGCTCCGTCCTCTCGTCGGAGCAGGACAGGCGCTCCCGAAAAACGAACCCCCCCCCCCCAAAAAAATCCTGCTCCAGCTCGTTGGTTGCCTTCCGCCGCCGCCGCTTGCCGCCCGCTCCCTTTCGCCCTCGCGCTCTGCCCCATCAGCAGTAACAGTCTGATTAATTCGCTTCCAGCAGGGAGCTGATGGGCCAATGATGGCGGCGCTGCGCTGGGCGCGCTGAAATTGATAGTTTTTCACAGTTACAAATGAGGAGCCACCCCCGGCTGCAAATGGCGGCGGCGCAGTCGGACGCCGGTAATGATCATAAAGAGGCTCTCTTTAAACTGCGAAAGCCCCTGGGAGAAGGAGAAGGAGGGAGGGGAGGGAAGGGAGCGAGAGGGGAGGGGCGGCCGGCGCGCTAATGAGAACGACGGCTTTCTCTCTTGATGGGCGTTTAACGGCGTCTTTCTTTCCGAACGGCGCCTGGCCCGAGCCGGGAAGCGGCGAGTGATGGATGCCGCCCAGAAAGCATTTATTTTCCAATTTCGGCAAAGTGGCTGCGTTGGGAAATGGATGAATTATTTTAATTCACTCAACTGTCCCGAAACGGGGGAGGGAAGGGAGGGAGGCGGGCGAGGAAACGGCGGCAAGCGAGGGAGGGGGGTTGGCTCTTCGACTCCGCCGCTGGGAGTTTCTGCGCGGCCCGGCTGCCCTGAGTTTGGACGGGGGGTTGGCGGTGGACACAGCTAACCTCCCCTCTCCCCCCTCTACGAATGCCAGAGAAGATATCCCTCCCCGTTTTATGGGATCCTCGTGGGGACGGTGGAGAAAAAACGCCGTGGACAATGCCCGTGGCAAACGGTGGAGCGGCTAATGGTTCACCCTGGTTCGCACGACCCGGTTGTTCCAACGATCCCTTGGTCGCCCAGCCGCCCTCGTCTGTCCCACATTCCCGGTCTTTTTGTGGCTTGGCTGGATTGGTGCGCCGCCCCATTGACCGTCCGCTGGGTCGTCCTCACCGGGAATGTGAGCCGAAAGTGGGCGGTTGTTCCGATGCTTCGCGCGCTTCCTCCCCCCAAAAACGGCTGCTACACCGCCGGGCGCAGGTCAGCCGAGAGAAGGGCGCCGGCGAGCCTTTCGAACTGCTGTCACTCAAGACGGGCCTTCGTGTAACTCCCCCCTCCCGCCGCGCCATCCACCGGCGCCTCTAAATCCCCACTGAGGGCACGCGCGCCACACTCACCCGCGCCGGGTGTGGCCACCGCTTCGCTCCACTGGTCGGCGCTGGAGACCGAGTAGGACCGCTGGTGAATGCCGCTGCCTTCCGGCTTCAAGATGAAGGCGCCCAGGTTGGTGCCGCTGCCGGAGCGCTCCGAGTGGAGAGAGGTGGTGCTGGCGGAGTGAGGAGTACCTGGAAGGAAGGCGGGAGAATCGGGATGAGCGGCTTGGCCCTACCGGACGCCCCACCGAGGCGGCGCTCGGCCTGGAAAGAGGCCTTCTTGCTTAGCAAAATCCCTCCCTCCCTCGTCTCCTTCCTGGCCAGATTGCGGGCATCCCACTTTGCGTCCACACACGGACGAAAGGAGGAATCGGGGGCCGACGGGGTCCCATGGGGCAGCCCTCTCTCCCCCCGCAACCAAGACCAGGACGAGTCGCCACGACGAAGAGATCGTACAGTCCGACCGGGGTGCTCGGCGTTTGGAGCCGAACGTTCCTCTTCGGACATTACGGGAGCGTCAATCCAAGGAGAGACCGGACCGCCGCGGTCGGTCTTGGACGTAAAAGGCCGCAACGTACCACCGATACACATTATTATTTCCCCCCAAAATTAGGAATGGGCCGAAATGGGAGAGGCTTACGCTCAAATTAAACGGGAAGGATGATTCCCTGGTTATTATCTGGGATAAAAGGTACAAATGGGTAGAAACGGCCCCCAAAATAAAAGACTGCGCAAAATAAACAAAGCCTGGAACTATATTAAATATAAATTGTGTGTGTTGAATGTATAAAATAATAGTTTCCATCTCCTTTCCTGCTACATGAAGGATTTTATTAACGAAATAATATAGGTCCAATCCGCTAGTAATAGGTGTTATTAATTAATATGTAACTTAGAAGAGATAAGGACTACTTGCCCGTTATTATTTATGATCGTTTGCGATGAACTATCGAACCGAATATCAAATGTAATCGAAAGAAACGTGTTTATTCTTTTAATTTGTACGTTGGCTATTTATTTTTTTATTTCGGCACGTTTGCCTTTTTCTCCTCTTTGGCAAAGAAAATTCGTTTTGATCGTGTTAATCCTAAAAACACTCATGCTAACAACACTAAAACTAATACCAATACTATTACTAATAACCATAAACAGAAACGGGGTAGGGTGGCCCCACTTGGGCGGCCCGGTAGGAGGTGGGGTTGGACTCAATGACCTCCCAGGACCCTCCTGAACTCGGTTCCTTCTGACCTGATCGAGGAGACGGCGGCCCCAAACAGCGCTGCTGTGCCCATCGCTGGGGGGAGACGGGGAAACGAGGCCCGGCCGACAAACCTGGGGAGGGGTTGGGGCCTGCGGCTTAGAAAGGAGGACGAGGGCCCCTCCCTCTCCTTCTCTTCCCCCCCTCCCCAAATCTGGTGGGGCCTATTCGAGGAGGACGGGCCGAGACCCCCGCCCGCTCCAATTGGCTGAGGTCCTCGACCTTCTCCCTCTGCGGAGGATTGTCTCTGCGTGTGTGTATCCCCAAACCTCGCCAGCAGGTGTAAGGGAGGAGGAGCGAGGGGGGGGAAGGGGGGAAAACCTCCCCTCCAGGCCCTCTCGGCCTTCCCCCTTCCCTCCCCTCCCCTCCCCTCAGCCCGCCTGGTTGCCAAGGCTGCACCAACTTGCTCGCTGGCCGCCGCCGGGGCCCCGTCTCTCCCTCCCCCGATCCAAGGTTCAAGCGCCGGCAAAAACATGTGTAAACCCATGACACCGACTCTGCCTCTAATTAGCCCTTAATTTACAAGACAGACTCCGAAGGCTAATTCGCTCTCTCCATCTCTTTCTCTCTCTCTTTCTCTCTCCCCATCTCTTTCTCTCTTTTTCTCTCTCCCCATCTCTTTCTCTCTTTTCTCTCTTCCTCTCTCTCTTTCTTTTTCTTTTTTCTTTCTCTCTCTCTTTCCCTCTTCCTCTCTCTCATTCTCCCTCTCCCCATCTCTTTCTCTCCCCATCTCTCTTTCTCTTTTTTCTCTTTCTCTCTCCCCATCTTTCTCCCTCTTTTTCTCTTTCTCTCTCCCCATCTTTCTCCCTCTCTTTCTTTTTCTCTGTCTCTCTCTCCCTCTTTTTCTCTCTTTCTGTCTCTTTCTCTTTCTCTCTCCCCATCTCTTTCTCTCTCTTTCTCTTTTTTCTCTTTCTCTCTCTCTCCCCATCTCTTTCTCCCTCTCTCTTTCTCTCTCTCTCTCCCCATCTTTCTCCCTCTCTCTTTTTCTCTTTCTCTCCCCATCTCTTTCTCTCTCTCTGTCTCTCTTTTTCTCTCTCTCTCTTTCTCCCTCCCTCCCTCTCTTTCTCTCTCCCTCTCCCTCTCTGTCTCTTTCTCTCTCCCTCTTTTTCTTTCTCTCTCTCCCTCTTTGTCTCTCTTTTTCTCTCTCTGTCTTTTTCTCTTTCTCCCTCCCTCCCTCCCTCCCTTTCTCTCTCCCTCTCTGTCTCTCTTTTTATGTCTCTTTTTCTCTCTCTCTCCCACTTTCTGCCTCTCTTTTTCTCTGTCTCTCTTTCTGTCTCTCTCTCCCTCTCTTTCTGTCTCTCTTTCTCTCTCCCTCTGTCTCTCTCTCTCCCTCTTTTTGTTTCTCTTTCTCTCTTTCTCTCTCCCCCATCTCTCTGTCTTTCTTGGGCTGCTGTCCTGGCCCCAACAGCCCTTGGCCAAGATCCCCCCCCCCCCCAACCACCTTCCCCCCCCCCCCCCCGTCATCTCCACAACAGGCCCAGTTTCGATACCGGGGAGGGGGATGCTTCCCGTAAGCCGCTCACCGAGGGGGACCGAAAAGGACCCCAATGGGGCTAGATTGCCTCCAGGTGCCCCAGAAAAGTGTCTTTGGGTGTGTGTGTGACGACAAAAGAGAGGGAAGGACCCAGCAGGCTGAGTGGGGGGGGGAGAGAGAAGCTCCCCCCTCTTGTAGCCCCTTCTAAAAGATGGAAAAGGGGAATTGGATCGATCCTCCATTCCCCGGGGCCCTCCAGAGGCCATCAAGGAGGTGGGCTGCCTTTCGGGGCTCCCCCAGCGGAGGAGAACAGTAGCCCCTCCCTTCCCCCCAAACTCTGGGCAAAGCCCCCCTCCATCGGGGCAAGCGGTACCCCACCGCCGGCCGCACCCCCCGCAACGCTACGTCTCTCCTCCTTCCGCGACCGTGCGGGAGGCGAGAAAGAAGCAATGGAGGAGCCTTGGCTTGAGGAGGAGAGGCGCCCCAAGCGCCGAACGGCGCCGAAGCCGGGCCCGAATCCCCACGCCGGACATTGGCGCGCTCCCTCTGGGGGCATTGCGAAGTGTCTCCCCGGAGGTGCAATGACCTCCGGGGACCCCCGTGCAAGCGAAACCGCAACGGGCTGGCCCTCGAGACACGCGCCGGAGCCCCTTCCGTCCCAGGCCGGAGGGTCCTCGCGGGTGGTTGGGTCGGGGGGTGGGGTGGGGCCTGTGAGCCAGACCCGGGGGTGGGGCGGGGGGGACGACACTTGGGTGCCCCCCCCTCCTCTGGCCTTTTTGAACTGCCACACCACCTGGACACAAACCCGCCCGTCCGTGGAAGACGACGCGGTGACGGGGAGGCTGGGATTCGGCGCGGTTCATGCCGGTTTGGACGAAGCGGTTGCCGTGAATTCGGACGCCTGGTTGGGTCAACCGTGCTTGTTCGGACGGCCACCCCGGCGGGGCCCGTTTTGGAGGCCCAGGTAAGCCCCGAGGGCCTGGGAGGGGGTGGTGCAGGAGGCCGGCTAAGGCGACGCCCCCGCGTGGCCACGGCCTCCCAGCCACCAGGCGGAGGACCAGTTGGCTCAGTGTTTTGGAATCCCGAAGGCGAGGAAGGAAGGAAGGAAGGAAGGAAAGGAAAGGAAGGAAGGACGGTGACGGAAGGAAGAAAGAAGGGAGGAGGAGCGAAGGAGGCAGGAAGGAAGGAGGGAGGGAGGGAGGGAGGGAAGGAGGAAGGAAGAAAGGAACGAAGGAAGGTGATGGAAGGAAGAAAGAAAGGCGGAGGAGCGAAGGAGGGAGGGAGGAAGGAAGGAGGGAGGGAGGGAGGGAGGAGGGAAGGAAGGAACAAAGGAGGGAGGGAGGGAGGGAGGAAGGAAGGAACGAAGGAAGGAAGGAAGGTGATGGAAGGAAGAAAGAAGGGAGGAGGAGCGAAGGAGGGAGGGAGGCAGGAAGGAAGGAAGGAAGGAGGGAGGGAGGGAGGAGGGAAGGAAGGAGGGAGGGAGGGAAGAAGGAAGGAAGGAAGGAAAGAGGGAGAGAGAAAGAGGGAGAGAGAGAGAGAGAGACAGAGGGGGGTATGTGATTAGTAGAAGAGGAAGGGAAGAGTGAGTGGTTGAGAGACCGAAAGGAGAACGGGGTCTGATTAGGGGAAGAGGAAGGAGGGAGAGAAAGACAGGAAGAGAGAAAGAGAGAAGGGAGGAGTCAAAGGGAGAGAGAGAGGGAGAAAGAGAGGAGGGTCTGGGGAGTGGAAGAGAAAGGAAAGAGAGAGAGAGAGACAGAAAGAGAGGAGAGAAAGAGAGAGAGATGGAGAAAGAGAGAAAGAAAGAAAGAGGAAGAGAGACAGAGAGAGAGAGAAAGAAATGGAGAAAGAGAGAAAGAGTGAGGGAGAGAGAGGGAGAAGGAGAGGAGGGTCTGATTAATCGGAAGGAAAGAGTGAGAGAGGGAGAAAGAGATGGTGAAAGAGGGAAAGCAAAAAGAGAGAGAAAGAGATGGAGAAGAAGAAAGAGTGGAAGAGAAAGAGTGAGAGAGAGATGGAGAAAGAGAAAAAGCAAAAAGAGAGAGAAAGAGATGGAGAAAGAGAAATAGTGGAAGAGAAAGAGAGAGAGAGAGATGGAGAAAGAGAGAAAGAGGGAGGGAGAGAAAGAGAGGAGAGTCTGATTAATGGGAAGGAAAGAGAGAGAGAAAGAGAGAAAAAAATGACAGAGAAAGAGATGGAGAAAGAGAAAAAAAGGAGAGGAAGAGAGAGAGAAAGAGAAACAGATGGAGAAAGAGACCGACTAACCGACAGACCCGGGTCCAAGCCGAGCCGTCGGCGCCATCCTGGAGAAAGAGCCCAAGGCCGCTAACCCTGAGAACCCAAAGGCGAGAGAACCTTTTTGCTGGCTGCGTTGGGACCGCCGGAACTTTCTCGCTGCCAGCCGGAAACTTCTCTCTTCCTTCCTAACCCAGGCCCATAGCGGAGGCCACGCGGGGCGGGGCAGGGGGCGTGCAGTGGCGGGGTACAGAACCCCCCCCACCAAACCCCCATCCGGGAGGAATGGTGGAACGAAGGGGTGAGGTTCTGACTCAGTCCCCGTCCGGGGTGGACAAACCGGACGTCGCCCTGCGTGGCCCGGCCAAAACGGACGCGAGGAGTGGGGCGTCTGGGCGTGGCGCGGGGGTGCGTTGGGGAGCAACTCCCCTCCCCCCTCCCCCGTGCTCCAGAGGGCTCTGCCCCTCCCCAATTCCTGCCCCGCT